TGGCCGGGCGCGTGGTGGTGTGTCGAGTGGTAGCTCTGGCGGCGGGCGCTGTCAGTACCAGATCCAGACCGGTCCTCGCCGCGGCTTCGTTTGCAGTAAGATCGGTCACTCCACTCCCCGCTGTTTTCGTCGCCTGGACGACCTCTTTCGTCAGCGCTTCGGCCCGTCGCCAGACCTCCCGGACTGGCACAGTTTGCTTAGTCGTAAGATTCAGATCTTTGATATGGACATGGATGCCATTGTTTCTGCTCTGCATGTGATGTACGCTAATGACTCTAGTGTGCTTCCCGCTTATTACTCACTGCTGCCTAGTGTAGGTGTGCCTAGTGTACCCTCCCCTGCTGCGTCAGGCATAGGATCCTCTGCTTTGTGTAGTCTTGGTGCTTCCGCCGTCGTTCCGTCGCCAGACGCCTCTGTTTCGCTTTCCTTCACCTTGGACTCTGGCGCTTCTCGGTGTTTCTTCCGCGACTCCACCACCCTGACGCCGCTTCCCGTCCCTGCTGCCGTTTCTCTCGCTGACCCCTCTGGCGGTCCGGTAGTCGCCCGCAGTTCCACCACCCTTCCCTGTCAGGCGGTTCCTTCGGGCTCTCTTACAGGTCTGCATATCCCCTCGTTCTCCAGGAACCTAGTTGGTGTCGGCTGCCTCCAGGACCTTGGCGTCACCACTACGTTCCCTGGTCACGAGCGGTATGCTGTCTGTACCGAGGCCGCCACTGGTGCCCCCCTGTCCACGTTCCCCCGGGACCCGGTGTCCGGCCTGTTCACTCTGGACACCGTGACCCCCCCGGCTGGAGCGCTCACCCAGGTTGCTGCCGCCTGCTCCTGTCGGTCCCTCACTCACCCGACCCTCCTTTGGCACCACCGCCTAGGTCACCCTGCGCTCCAGCGTCTGCGTCACATGTCCCAGCACGGTCTTGTCCTTGGTCTCCCAGGTTCTCTCCCTGCGTTTCCCTCCTCCCCAGCCCCACCTTGCACGCCTTGTGTCGAGGGTCGGCTTCGCCGTGCCCCTCACTCCTCCTCGTTTCCCCCTACCGCCGCGCCGCTGCAGACCCTGCACCTGGACATATGGGGCCCCGCCCCTGTCCCTGGGCCGCGTCGAGAGCGCTACTTCCTTGTGCTTGTCGACGACTTCACACGCTACACCACAGTCTTTCCCCTGGAGCGCAAGGCCGACGTGCCTGGCGCTCTCATCCCCTGGCTTGTCTCTGCGCGTGTCCACCGCGGTCTCCCTGTCTTGCGTCTTCACTCAGACCGTGGTGGCGAGTTTGCCTCAGGTGTCCTTGGTCGCTTTTGTCGTGCGGAGGGCATCACCCAGACGTTCACCCTACCGGACTCCCCACAGCAGAATGGGGTCGCTGAGCGACGCATCGGTTTGGTCATGGAGGTGGCTCGCACCTCCATGATCCATGCCGGTGCACCCCATTTTCTGTGGCCGTTCGCTGTGCGCTACGCTTCTCACCAGCTTAACCTACGGCCGCACCCTCAGCAGCCGCAGGTTTCGCCGACCCGTATTTGGACTGGGTCTCCTGGTGACGCGTCTGCGTTCCACGTCTGGGGCTGCCTTGCTCACGTCCGTGCCTCCGGCACGGACAAGCTCACTGCCCGCACCCTTCCCTGCGTCTTCCTCGGTTTTCCCCTTGACGCGTCCGACTGGCACTTTTACCACCCGCCGTCTCACCGCTTCTTTCACTCTCGTGACGTCACCTTTGACGAGTCCGTCTCCTACTACCGTCGCTTCCCCCACCGTGGTCCCCCGGTTACTCCCCCCCTGTTCCTGGTCCCTCCTTCCCCGGTAGTCCCTGCCCCTCCTCCTCCTCCTCCCCGTCCCGCCCCCTCTGGTGTGTCCCAAGTCACCCCCCCTCCGTCGGTGGACCCGGTTGAGGAGTCTTCTGACTCTGGTGGCCCTCCTGTGCAGTCCTCGTCAGCCGCCCCTCCCCTGGCGTCCCCTCCCCAGTCCCCTCCTCCACCGCTTCTGCCGCCGCTGCAGCCGTCGTTGCCGCCGCCGCCGCTGCCGTCGCAGCACCCGTTCGCTGCCTCTGGGGGTGCTCGTCCCGGTAGCCCTGGGGGTGGTCCCTCTGGGGGTGCTGGTGTGGAGAGTGTCGGGGGTTGCCGAGGAGCAGCTAGCGGTCCCGGTGTCGCCGTTGTGCCGCCGCAGCAGCAGTCCCCGCCGGTGTCAGCCCTTCGCCTGCTCGGCCTGCCGTCCCCCGACCCTGCGTCGGTTCCTCCCCGACTGTCTCCTCCTCTTCCTGTCTACGGCCCTGTTTTCCCTCCGCCGGACTCGTCCCCGGCTCGTCTCCCCCCTCGTTCCCCTCCTGTGTCCCCTCCTCTGTCTCCTGACCCGACTCCTCCGTCGCACGTCTGGTCTCACCGTCCCTCCCGTGCTCGTCCTGCCTCGCCTGTCCTGCGCTCCCACCCTATGTTGCTTCGTTCCCACGCGTCTCGTCCTCCCCTTCTGCCGTCGCCTCCTCCTTCCTCCCTTGTTGTTGCACCCCCCCCGCTGTCTGACTACCTTCGTGCCGCTCGTCCTCTTGTTCCTCGCGTCCTTGCCTCTCTCGTTACCGACCCGTCTGTTCCGGCCTCGTGCCTTGACGCCCTTGTCGCTGCTGTCGCTGACTTCGCCTCTTCCCGCCGCCTTGACTACGCCTCCGCTCTGGTCTCTGACCCTGCCTGTCCTCCGTCTGTCGGGGGTGCTCCTGCCCTTGGCAGTGACGTCCTGGAGGACCGCCAGTTCGAGCTTGCCTTCCTCTCCGAGGCTGCTCCCCATCTCTGTTCCATGCTGCTAGTCCCTGAGGGTGACCCAGACGCTTTTGACATCCCGACCCCTCGCACTTACGCTGAGGCGACCTCGGGACCCTGGGCCTCGCAGTGGATAGCTGCCATGGAGCAGGAGATGGCATCTTGGAGATCCACCGGCACCTTCGTCGACGCAGTTCCCCCGCCTGGGGTGAACGTAGTCGATGGCCGCTGGCTCTTCAAGGTGAAGCGCCCTCCTGGAGAGCCGCCTGTGTTCAAGGCGCGCTACGTGGCTAGAGGCTTCAGTCAGCGCGAGGGGGTGGACTTCTTCCAGACCTTCGCTCCGACCCCGAAGATGACTACACTTCGGGTTCTGTTACACCTAGCTGCTCAGCGTGACTACGAGCTTCACTCCCTCGACTTCTCCACTGCCTTCCTTCAGGGCAGCCTACACGAGCAGGTCTACCTACGTCGCCCTCCGGGCTTTACTGGCACCTTCCCTCCTGGGACCCAGTGGCTCCTGCGGCGCCCCGTCTACGGCCTGCGTCAGGCTCCCCGTGACTGGCACAACACTCTCCGTGCTACGCTTGCTGACCTGCAGTTCTTTCCGTCTTCCGCAGACCCTTCCCTCTTCGTTCGTGCTGGCCAGACTCCGTTCTACATCCTTGTTTACGTCGACGACCTGGTCTTTGCCATAGCAGACAGGGACGCACTGGCCTCCGTGAAGGCAGAGCTGCTGAAGAGACACACCTGCACTGACCTTGGAGAACTGCGTCGTTACCTTGGCTTGCAGATCTCCAGGGACAGAGCTGCGCGCACCATCACCCTGACTCAGTCACACTTGGTGCGCCAGGTCCTTCAGAGGTTCAGCCTTCAGTTCTCCTCTGCACAGCCCACCCCTCTGCCTGTAGACCACAGGCTCTCCGCTCCAGTGTCTGAGGAGTTGGTAGAGCCCAGCGGCCCCTACGCAGAGCTGGTGGGTTGCCTCATGTACCTGATGACTTGCACTCGCCCAGATCTTGCATACCCTCTCAGCATCCTGGCTCGTTTTGTGGCCACAGGCAGACACCGACCGCAGCACTGGTCTGCCGCTAAGAGGGTTCTGCGTTATCTTGCTAGTACATCGGGCATGGGGTTAGTGCTAGGAGGACGCAGGCCAGTGGTCCTTACTGGACACACAGACGCTTCATGGGCAGACGACGCTGAGACACTCAGGTCTACCCAAGGCTACTGCTTCAGCCTTGGCTCAGGTGCCGTCTCGTGGAGAGCTACTCGCTCCTCGTCTGTGGCGCAGTCCAGCTGTGAGGCTGAGATCTACGCTGGTGCCATGGCGGCACAGGAGCTCCGCTGGCTGACCTTCTTGCTCACTGACTTAGGTGAGCGGCCTAGCTCTGCCCCGGTCCTGTTCGCTGACAACAGGGTCATGATCCTCCTGTGTCAGGAGCCTCGACTCGAGGGCAGAGCGAAGCACATTCAGCTGCGGTACTTCCTCCTGCGTGAGCTACAGCAGCGACGTCAGGCTCGCGTAGTACACTTGGCCTCATGTGCCAACACGGCTGATATCTTTACGACGCCTAAAGATCATCAGCGGCACTGTGTACAGCTTGGTCTAGTTCCTGTAGCCTCTCACTTGCTATGACATTGACTTTGTACTGTCCTTTATATGTATACTCAGACTGGACTTGTGTCCTCTCCCAGTGGCTGGACTAGTAGTGCCGCCCTGCTCTTGTTCTTGCCTTGTCTGTACTCCTTCTGACTGGTCTCTCAGACCCTTGTCTCAGAGGTTGGACTAGTAGTGCCGCCCTGAGCTGCCTGTTTAGGACATTCCCCTATGCAGTCTAGGGGGTGTGTCAAACATGTGTATTTGTCATGTTTGTATAGACTGTATAGGGTAGCCTCTTAGAGGGTACAACACTTAGGTATATCTGTGTGTACCCTCTCTCTAACAATCATTCACTTCTTCAATTTCTGATAATGATATGCATTTTGCTCAGCCACTAGGTTCTTGGTGGTAGTCCTTTCCATAACCTTGCCAAATATAGGCCATCCACGATAATATTCTTAGATTTTACCTCTATAGAAATCATTATCGTACTATGTCCGCTTGTAATAATTTATATGCTTCTCTCGTGGACTACCTTCGTTCCACTAAGGGTTAGCATTCTGCACAAAACCCCCACGCTTATAAACTGCTAACGAAGGATCCTGTACGAAGTCCAATACTCACACAACTTTCGGCAGTGCCTGTCCCGCACGATTTTCGGCAGTGCGATTAGTCTGTTCTGAGTATCCCGCGCCAGTTTCGGCCGAGTCCAGGTAGAATCCAGGCGTAAGTTAGTATAGCTGTAAATTCGAGTCAGTAACCGAGCCCGCTAGCTTGCCCATTCGCTACCGTTTCACCGAGAACTGGGAAACGACAGAGATTAGGGACCGAGGCTGGAGAACTTGTGACCATTCATTTGACTTCCCGTCAGAAAACGTTTACCCGCCGATTGGTCCATTAGGCCCTGCGAGGTTTGGCGGAGCGCCATAGGAATCAAATCACCTGCGAGGAAAAGGTGAAGGACTGCTGCTCGAAGCAATGAAGGTGGTAGGCCAATTTTGAAGGATTCGAATCCGGTTTGGAGGGGTTGAGTCCGATAAGGAGGTTGTTAGTCAGGTAGCAGGTGGCTGGAGGTCTGTACAGGGGAAGAGTACCACGATGCGGTAGACATTTCGTATGCCCGTTATAACGAAGGCGGTTTATTAGACTGTAACGAGACTCGCTATAAGACGCCACGATGTTCGTTCTAACGGAGATGGAGGATGACATCCGCGTGGCGCCTCACGACCTGCATCGCCCGCATTTGACGGCCGTCAGCTCGGAGATTAAAGCCAAATACTTCGATAAGGCGAGTGACTCGATCACTGTAGAATCCAGTGCAGTTTCCACTACCCGCATTCCACGGCCATCCGCTCCCAAATACGATTTAAGTGTCTCAACAATGTATGCGAATCGAGAGATCACATGCGGAGACGAGCATGGAGCCTGAAATCGCGAATTCCTTCTTCAACCTGCCTCTCGCTCCGCCCCACATCTCTTTCCCCTCAAACCCCCCCCCCGTCCTCCCTCCACACACAAACACACCCCTCCGCACCCCGCCGCACCCCTCCTCTCATCCCCTCCGCCTGTCGTCATGCGACCGCCTCCCTCCCGGCGCTGCGCCCCTTTTGCTCTGCACACGACCCTCCCTCGTTTGCCCGCATCCCCCACCCGGTCGGGGGTTCCGGTTCTAGGGTTTGGGAGTTTGGCGTTCAATATTCTTGGGCGCGTGTTGATCACGCTCACCCACTCGATGGTACCCTGTGATTCGTTCTCCTTTTCCGTGGAGTTTAGTGTAGACATGGGGAGTTTGAGTTTTTAAATATAGGGCGCCTGCTAGACACACTCCCTCACTCCCTCACCCCCTCACTCCCGCACTCCCGCACTCCCTCACTCCCTCACCCCCTCACCCCCTCACTCCCTCACTCCCACACACACGGCGGTCTTCTGTGGCTCCTGCTCCACTCCCGTGCGCCTGCCATTTTGATGTGTGCGCCTGACTCCCCTTTGTGTCACACACCCCCCTTTGAGTCTCACTCCCCCCTTTGAGCCTTACACCTTGTGCCTCACACGCCCCTCTGTGTCTCACACTCCCCTTTGTGCCGCACGCCCCGTTTTCCTATCTGCTTCACACCCCTGAACTTTCCAGAGGCTGCGCAATGTGCTGGCATTGGTACAAGGGGGCTTCATTCATCTACCCCTCTCATAGAAGCTCTTTTCCCTGCACTTTCCCTGCACTTTCCCTACACTTTCCTCGCACTTTCCCTACACTTTCCCTTTACTTGTGCGTGACATCTCTGACCCATCCAGGTGCTTCGCAATGTGGGTCTCTGTATCTCTCTGCACAGCCTGCATGCATCCGTCCGTACAAGAGGGGGGGATTTATCTACCCCTCTGATACAGGCTCATTTCCCTGCTGCACCTTCCCTGCACTTTCCCTGCACCTTCCCTGCACCTTCCCTGCACTTTCCATGCACCTTCCCTGCACCTTCCCTGCACCTTCCCTGCACTTTCCCTGCACCTTCCCTGCACCTTCCCTGCACCTTCCCTGCACCTTCCCTGCACTTTTCCTGTTCCCCTGACCCATCAGGTGCTGCGCAATGTGGGTCTCTGCGTCTCTCTGCACGACTTACAAGCCGTGGAAGGGGGGTTCATCTTCCCGTCCGACCCTGGCCCTCATTTCACCGTGAGACCTTCTTTGCCATCCCGTCTTTGCCATCCCGTCTTGGCCATCCCTTCTTTGCAATCCCTTCTGCTGTCTGGCTCCCTTTCGCCTTCTCCCTCAAACAGCGCCATCTCCTTTGCCATCCCTTCTGCTTGCTTCTAAGATGTGTTAAAGGCTCTAGCACCCGTTTGTGCTCCTCAGTCTCTCAAGCTAGCTGTTGGTCCTCTCCTGCTTCTCCTCCTCTTCTCCCCCCTGCCCCACTTTGTTCCTCCCGCCTCCTTTCTTGCCGCACCCAAATCAAGTTTGCTTTCGTCTCTCCGTTTTCAATTGCCTCCATCCAGGGTTCTCTCACCTGCTTATTCCTCCCCCATTCTTCCCTCCTCCCCCCCCCCCTCCTCCCCTCGCCCCTCCCCTCCCCCTTTCGGGATACATACCCATCTGGTTCGCTTCCGTCTGTGGTCTTCTCACCCTTTGTCAGGGAAGTGCTTGTTTTGAGGCGCCTCAGAAGTCCCCTCCCCTCCTGATTCCGCTCGGATCACCCCCTTCCGACTCTTCTCCCCTTACCCCTTCTGGCTCTTCTCCCCTTACCCCTTCTTCCCCGCCGCATACCCATCAGGTTCGCTTCCGCCTTGTGGCCTTCTCCCCCTTTGCCGGGGAAGTGCTTGTGCTTGTTCGTAGGCGCCTCAGAAGTCCCCTCCCCTCCTTCCTCCACTCTGGTTTCCCCCTCCTTTCCTGCCACATACAAAACAGGTTCGCTTCCGTCTCGTGGTCTTCTCCCCCTTTGTCGAGGAAGTGCTTGTGGGTAGGCTTGTGAAGTGCTTGTTTTGAGGCGCCTCAGAAGTCCCTTGCTCTCCTTACTCCACTCCCATTGCCCCCACCCCCTCTCCCCCACCTCTCTTGACGGATACACATCATCAGGTTCGCTTCCGCCTCGTGGTCTTCTCCCCTTTTGTCGGGGAAGTGCTTGTGGGAAGGCTTGTGAAGTGCGACGCTACTGGCCTCTCTGGTATGTTACTTGCTCCCTGGTGTCGTGCCTTCTCAGCCGACTCTTAGGCCAACTTGTGGCCTTCTCTCGTTATCAGGGAAGAGCATGTGGACGGGCTTGTGAAGTGCGGCGCTACTGGCCTCTCTGGTATGGGCTCTCTGGTATGGGCTCCCTAGTATGGGCTCTCTGGTATGGGCTCTCTGGTATGGGCTCTCTGGTATGGGCTCTCTGGTATGGGCTCTCTGGTATGGGCTCTCTGGTATGGGCTCTCTGGTATGGGCTCTCTGGTATGGGCTCTCTGGTATGGGCTCTCTGGTATGGCCTCTCTGGTATGGCCTCTCTGGTATGGGCTCTCTGGTATGGGCTCTCTGGTATGGGCTCTCTGGTATGGCCTCTCTGGTATGGCCTCTCTGGTATGGCCTCTCTGGTATGGCCTCTCTGGTATGGGCTCTCTGGTATGGCCTCTCTGGTATGGCCTCGCTGGTATGGCCTCTCTGGTATGGGCTCTCTGGTATGGGCTCTCTGGTATGGGCTCTCTGGTATGGGCTCTCTGGTATGGGCTCTCTGGTATGGGCTCTCTGGTATGGCCTCTCTGGTATGGGCTCTCTGGTATGGGCTCTCTGGTATGGGCTCTCTGGTATGGGCTCTCTGGTATGGGCTCTCTGGTATGGGCTCTCTGGTATAGGCTCTCTGGTATGGGCTCTCTGGTATGGGCTCTCTGGTATGGGCTCTCTGGTATGGGCTCTCTGGTATGGCCTCTCTGGTATGGCCTCTCTGGTATGGGCTCTCTGGTATGGGCTCTCTGGTATGGGCTCTCTGGTATGGGCTCTCTGGTATGGCCTCTCTGGTATGGCCTCTCTGGTATGGCCTCTCTGGTATGGCCTCTCTGGTATGGGCTCTCTGGTATGGCCTCTCTGGTATGGCCTCGCTGGTATGGCCTCTCTGGTATGGGCTCTCTGGTATGGGCTCTCTGGTATGGGCTCTCTGGTATGGGCTCTCTGGTATGGGCTCTCTGGTATGGCCTCTCTGGTATGGGCTCTCTGGTATGGGCTCTCTGGTATGGGCTCTCTGGTATGGCCTCTCTGGTATGGCCTCTCTGGTATGGCCTCTCTGGTATGGCCTCTCTGGTATGGCCTCTCTGGTATGGCCTCTCTGGTATGGCCTCTCTGGTATGGGCTCTCTGGTATGGGCTCTCTGGTATGGGCTCTCTGGTATGGGCTCTCTGGTATGGCCTCTCTGGTATGGCCTCTCTGGTATGGGCTCTCTGGTATGGGCTCTCTGGTATGGCCTCTCTGGTATGGCCTCTCTGGTATGGCCTCTCTGGTATGGCCTCTCTGGTATGGCCTCTCTGGTATGGGCTCTCTGGTATGGCCTCTCTGGTATGGCCTCGCTGGTATGGCCTCTCTGGTATGGGCTCTCTGGTATGGGCTCTCTGGTATGGGCTCTCTGGTATGGGCTCTCTGGTATGGGCTCTCTGGTATGGGCTCTCTGGTATGGCCTCTCTGGTATGGGCTCTCTGGTATGGGCTCTCTGGTATGGGCTCTCTGGTATGGGCTCTCTGGTATGGGCTCTCTGGTATGGGCTCTCTGGTATAGGCTCTCTGGTATGGGCTCTCTGGTATGGGCTCTCTGGTATGGGCTCTCTGGTATGGGCTCTCTGGTATGGCCTCTCTGGTATGGCCTCTCTGGTATGGGCTCTCTGGTATGGCCTCTCTGGTATGGGCTCTCTGGTATGGGCTCTCTGGTATGGCCTCTCTGGTATGGCCTCTCTGGTATGGCCTCTCTGGTATGGCCTCTCTGGTATGGGCTCTCTGGTATGGCCTCTCTGGTATGGCCTCGCTGGTATGGCCTCTCTGGTATGGGCTCTCTGGTATGGGCTCTCTGGTATGGGCTCTCTGGTATGGGTCTTGGTATGGGCTCTCTGGTATGGCCTCTCTGGTATGGGCTCTCTGGTATGGGCTCTCTGGTATGGGCTCTCTGGTATGGCCTCTCTGGTATGGCCTCTCTGGTATGGCCTCTCTGGTATGGCCTCTCTGGTATGGCCTCTCTGGTATGGCCTCTCTGGTATGGCCTCTCTGGTATGGGCTCTCTGGTATGGGCTCTCTGGTATGGGCTCTCTGGTATGGGCTCTCTGGTATGGCCTCTCTGGTATGGGCTCTCTGATATGGGCTCTCTGGTATGGGCTCTCTGGTATGGGCTCTCTGGTATGGGCTCTCTGGTATGGGCTCTCTGGTATGGGCTCTCTTGTATGGGCTCTCTGGTAATGGGCTCTCTGGTATGGGCTCTCTGGTATGGCTCTCTGGTATGGCTCTCTGGTATGGGCCTCCTCTGGTATGGGCTCTCTGGTATGGGGCTTCTCCTGGTATGGGCTCTCTGGTATGGGCTTCTCTTGGTATGGGGCTCTCTGGTAATGGGCCTCTCTGGTATGGGCTCTCTGGTATGGGCTCTCTGGTATGGGCTCTCTGGTATGGGCTCTCTGGTATGGGCTCTCTGGTATGGGCTCTCTGGTATGGCTCTCTGGTATGGGCTCTCTGGTATGGGCTCTCTGGTATGGGCTCTCTGGTAATGGGCTCTCTGGTATGGGCTCTCTGGTATGGCTCTCTGGTATGGGCCTCTCTGGTAATGGCCTCCTGGTATGGGCTCTCTGGTATGGGCTCTCTGGTATGGGCTCTCTCTGGTATGGCCTCTCTGGTATGGCCTCTCTGGTATGGCTCTCTGGTATGGCCTCTCTGGTATGGGCTCTCTGGTATGGCCTCTCTGGTATGGGCTCTCTGGTATGGGCTCTCTGGTATGGGCTCTCTGGTATGGGCTCTCTGGTATGGGCTCTCTGGTATGGCCTCTCTGGTATGGCTCTCTGGTATGGGCCTCTCTGGTATGGGCTCTCTGGTATGGGCTCTCTGGTATGGCCTCTCTGGTATGGCCTCTCTGGTATGGCCTCTTGGTTGGCCTCTCTGGTATGGCCTCTCTGGTATGGCTTTTTTCCTCTCTGGTATGGGCCTCGCTGGTATGGCTCTCTGGTATGGCCTCTCTGGTATGGGCTCTCTGGTATGGGCTCTCTGGTATGGGCTCTCTGGGTATGGGCTCTCTGGTATGGGCTCTCTGGTATGGCTCTCTGTGGCTCTCTGGTATGGCTCTCTGGTATGGGCTCTCTGGTATGGCTCTCTGGTATGGCCTCTCTGGTAATGGCCTCTCTGGTATGGCCTCTCTGGTATGGCCTCTCTGGTATGGCCTCTCTGGTATGGCCTCTCTGGTATGGGCCTCTCTGGTATGGGCTCTCTGGTATGGGCTCCTGGTATGGGCTCTCTGGTATGGGCTCTCTGGTATGGGCTCTCTGGTATGGGCTCTCTGGTAATGGGCTCTCTGGTATGGGCTCTCTGGTATGGCCTCTCTGGTATGGGCTCTCTGGTATGGGCTCTCTGGTATGGGCTCTCTGGTATGGGCTCTCTGGTATGGGCTCTCTGGTATGGGCTCTCTGGTATGGGCTCTCTGGTATGGGCTCTCTGGTATGGGCTCTCTGGTATGGGCTCTCTGGTATGGGCTCTCTGGTATGGGCTCTCTGGTATGGGCTCTCTGGTATGGGCTCTCTGGTATGGGCTCTCTGGTATGGGCTCTCTGGTATGGCCTCTCTGGTATGGGCTCTCTGGTATGGGCTCTCTGGTATGGGCTCTCTGGTATGGGCTCTCTGGTATGGGCCTCTCTGGTATGGCCTCCTGGTATGGCCTCTGGTATGGCTCTCTGGTATGGCCTCTCTGGTATGGGCTCTCTGGTATGGCTCTCTGGTATGGGCTCTCTGGTATGGCCTCTCTGGTATGGGCTCTCTGGTATGGCCTCTCTGGTATGGGCTCTCTGGTATGGCCTCTCTGGTATGGGCTCTCTGGTATGGGCTCTCTGGTATGGGCTCTCTGGTATGGGCTCTCTGGTATGGGCTCTCTGGTATGGCCTCTCTGGTATGGGCTCTCTGGTATGGGCTCTCTGGTATGGGCTCTCTGGTATGGGCCTCTCTGGTATGGGCCTCTCTGGTATCCTCTCTGGTATGGCCTCTCTGGTATGGCCTCTCTGGTAATGGCCTCTCTGGTATGGCCTCCTCTGGTATGGCCTCTCTGGTATGGCCTCTCTGGTATGGGCTCTCTGGTATGGGCTCTCTGGTATGGCCTCTCTGGTATGGCTCTCTGGTATGGGCTCTCTGATATGGGCTCTCTGGTATGGGCTCTCTGGTATGGGCTCTCTGGTATGGGCTCTCTGGTATGGGCTCTTCCTTGGTATGGGCTCTCTGGTATGGCCTCTCTGGTATGGCTCTCTGGTATGGCCTCTCTGGTATGGCCTCTCTGGTATGGCCTCTCTGGTATGGCCTCTCTGGTATGGCCTCTCTGGTATGGGCTCTCTGGTATGGCCTCTCTGGTATGGCCTCGCTGGTATGGCCTCTCTGGTATGGATGGGCTCTCTGGTATGGGCTCTCTGGTATGGGCTCTCTGGTATGGGCTCTCTGGTATGGGCTCTCTGGTATGGCCTCTCTGGTATGGGCTCTCTGGTATGGGCTCTCTGGTATGGCCTCTCTGGTATGGCCTCTCTGGTATGGCCATCCTCTGGTATGGCCTCTCTGGTATGGCCTCTCTGGTATGGCCTCTCTGGTATGGCTCTCTGGTATGGCCTCTCTGGTATGGCCTCTCTGGTATGGGCTCTCTGGTATGGGCTCTCTGGTATGGGCCTCTCTGGTATGGGCCTCTCTGGATATGGGCTCTCTGGTATGGGCTCTCTGGTATGGGCTCTCTGGTAATGGGCTCTCTGGTATGGGCTCTCTGGTATGGGCTCTCTGGTATGGGCTCTCTGGTATGGGCTCTCTGGTATGGGCTCTCTGGTATGGGCTCGTCTCTGGTATGGGCTCCTCTGGTATGGGCTCTCTGGTATGGGCTCTCTGGTAATGGGCTCTCTGGTATGGGCTCTCTGGGTATGGGCTCTCTGGTATGGGCTCTCTGGTATGGGCTCTCTGGTATGGGCTCTCTGGTATGGGCCTCTCTGGTATGG